TCTTTAATCTTTCCCTTATTTCTCTCCCCCCCACCTTGTCCCTTTCACCAACAGGATATCGTTTCATCACCAGCTTTGTGTTAAGAATTGGGAGAGAGAAAGAGGAAATGTAAAAAGAGCACTCTACACCTGCTTTCCCCTCCTAAATCGTGGCTAACCTTGAAGAGAACTGGTTATTGTGCTCATGTGAAACCTATGCTCAGACAGCAAGTGGTCCTCAGAACCGAGCAAGGAAAAACACTGCTTGGTTCAAAATCAGGAAAGGAGTGTGCAGAGATGTGTCTTGTCTCCCCACCTTTTCAATCTATATGCAGAGCAGATCATTCACGAGGCTGGGCTGTATGAGGAGGAATGTAGCCATCAGGATTGGAGGAAGACTCATTAATAACCTGTAATATGGAGATGACGCAACCTTGCTTGCTGAAACTGAGGAAGACCTGAAACAGTTGTTGAAGAAAATCAAGGACAGTAGTCTGCAATATGGATTGAAGCTTAACATCAAGGAAACAAAGATTCTCACCTCTGGACCAATTGGGGAAGAGATTAAGATTGTTAACAGCTTCAGCTTGTTTGGTTCCAAAATCAACACTCTTAGTTCCAGTGGTCATTAAAACAAAAGATGAATTGCACTGGGAAAATCTGCTGTCAGAGACCTCTCCAAAGTACTGATTTCAGTCTAGGGACTAAGGTGTGCCTGATCCATGCCATGGTCTTCACAATTATTTGTTATGCATCAGAGAGCTGGACAATGACTAAGGATGAAAGGAGAAGAATCAATACCTTTGAGTTGTGGTGCCGGAGAAGAGTCTTGAACATACTATGGAACACCAAGAGAACAAGTAGGTCTGTCTTGGAGAAGGTTAAAATAGATTTCTCCTTGGAGGCTAGCATTTTGAAGCTTCATCTTCCATACTTGGGGCATGTGTTCAGGAGGGACCAGTCCTTGGAGAAGGACATCATGCTTGGAAGGTGGAGGGACAGTGCAGAGAGGAAGACCCCAGATGAGACGGATGACACAGTAACTATGGTAATAGGGGTATGTGTTTTGGAGACTGGCTCAGGGCAGGGCAGGCTTTAGAGCTGTTGTGCATAGGGTCTTTATGAGTCACAGGTGACTCTATAGCATGTAATAAGAACAACAACATCACCTGCTTTTAACACTCTTCTGATTGGAGGCTCTTCACAATTGGTTACCACATGATCAATACAGTAGGCACCTTCTAACTAGCTGTGATGAAGACCAGTGCTTATCAGTTTAGGTGGGCACTTGAAAACCAGCCATTTGAGTCCTTTCTGATTCATGGCAAACCCATGTACTTTAGAGTAGCACTGAGGGTTTAGAAAGCACATGAGGCTTTCTTGAGTGAAATCTTTGTGGAGGAAGTTTGCCAACCATTTCTTCCAGGGCACTTCTGGGTGAGTGTGCAATAATGCTTAGCCTTTTTTTTTTATATATAGTTCTCTATATAATAGGCCCTTGCCTTTGTTATGAAGACAAATATTTATCAGTTTGGGAGTGTAATTATGGTGCAATCAAATCTTCTGTGAGCATGAATTGGTTGACAGAGGATCTGCATTGATTCTCTTGTCTGAACCATACACAGGGATTGTTGTCTGTAATATATTTTGTTAATATGGAACAAGAAATCAAGGATCTTTGTGAAACAATCTAAGTGCATGATCCTTGTAGAATTCCACTGTTTTACACCCATATTGGGAGATCCCTGATTAAAACAAGCTTGGAAGGAGGAGTGGCATCCACTTCCGTAATAGCTTGCCTCCGGAAACCCTATGAACCTGGAGAGAGGATGAAAGACACCCAAGCGTTGAGGACTCTCCTTCATAGGGTCACTATGGTAGCCTGCGACTCGATGGCACTTAACAACAACAACCATCAATAAATTAATGGATAGAGAAGCTGTGGTATATTCACACAATGGAATACTATACAGCACTAAAAAACAAGGAACTAAAAAAATATTATACAAAATGGGTGACCCTGGAGGACATTTTGCTGATTGAAATATCTCAGTCACAAAAGGACAAATACTGCATAATGCCACTGTTATAAAACAGGACTGACATGAGGATTAGGGGGAAACTAAGAAAAGAGGGGATAAATAATGTACACTGCATTGAAACAGATGAGGGAAAGACTTTAAAAGAGATATATGATTAGGTATTATTTGCATCACAACAGTCTAGAATAAATGCTGCATAGCAAAGTGGACTGGGGAGAGGAAATTGTGCAACAATGAAAGAAGTTTTTCCCCCAAGAGAATTTGGAGGGGGGAGGTAGGGATACTGTAGTGCATACTGTATGCACTTTCTACAAGGCATATCTGTTATTTTGGTAGTCCATGGGATATTCAATTCTCCTGTCATCCTTATTCATTGCACAGCTCTCAGATGTATAGCAAGTTACTTAAAAGACCATGTTTTGAATCCAGCACACTTTAATCTTCAAACTGCTATCATTACTCTACAGGACCTTGGAGCGATCTTTGACAGCTGACTTGCTCAATGCAACACATCTTCTTTCCTCTTGACTGCTGGTACCAAGGATGTTGACTGTGGATCCAGGCTGGAGGAAATAATTGACAACTTCAATTCTTTCTCCATCTATTTTGATGTTGCCTATTGGCCCAGTGGTGTGAATTTTTGTCTTCTTGATGTTGAGTTGTAATCTATATTGAAGGCTGTTGGCCTTGATCACCTGCAGCATGTGTTTCAAGTTCTCTTCT